CCAGCCTAAAAAAATGTTTTGTAGAGATAAGGTTTCACTATCTTGCTCAGGCAATCCTGGGCTCAGGCAATCCTCCCACCTTGGCCTCCCAAAGTGCTGGGATTGCAGGTGTGAATCACTGTGCCAGGCCCTTATTCACCACTTTCACTGTACAAAGAATAATCCCTTTTGTTTACATATGAAATAAATCATTCCCTCTGTACAAAGGCATTTCAGTCTTTTTTTTTTTTTTTTTGAGACGGAGTCTCGCTGTGTCTCCCAGGCTGGAGTGCAGTGGCATGATCTTGGCTCACTGCAAGCTCCGCCTCCCGGGTTCACGCCATTCTCCCGCCTCAGCCTCCCAAGTAGCTGAGACTACAGGCGCCCGCCACCACGCCCGGCTAGTTTTTTGTATTTTTAGTAGAGACGGGGTTTCACCATGTTAGCCAGGATAGTTTCGATCTCCTGACCTCGTGATCCACCCGCCTCGGCCTCCCAAAGTGCTGGGATTACAGGCTTGAGCCACCGCGCCCGGCGGCATTTCAGTCTTTAAGTTGTGGACATGTACAGGTGGATGTTATTTCTCAGACCATAAGTGCCCAATGGGACCTCTGTCATGGTGGTGGAGGACATGGCAAGGCAAAGGGGAAAGGTGGCTGCTTGAGGTGGTAATACAATTTTATTATATTATAAAAATAGACCTGGCATGGGGTGGCTCACACCTGTAATCCCAGCACTTTGGGAGGCTGAGGCAGGTGGATCTCTTGAGGTCAGGAGTTCAAGACCAGCCTGGCCAACCCCGTCTCTACTAAAATACAAAAATTAGCTGGGAGTGGTGGCAGGTGCCTGTAATCCCAGCTACTCAGGAGGCTATGGCAGGAGAATCATTTGAATGCGGGAGGTGGAGGTTGTAGTTAGCCAGGACTGCATCACTATACTCCAGCCTGGGCAACAGAGCAAGACTCTATCTCAAAATAAATAAATAAAATAAAATAAATACAGTTTTATATTATATTTATAATTTTATTTTAAAACTATTCTGGTCTGGGTGCAGTGGCTCATGCCCGTAATCTCAGCACTTTGGGAGGCTGAGGTGGGCGGATCACAAGGTCAGGAGATCGAGATCATTGTGGCCAACATGGTGAAACCCTGTCTCTACTAAAAATACAAAAATTAGCTGGGCGTGGTGGCGCACACCTGTAGTACCAGCTACTCAGGATGCTGAGGCAGGAGAATCACTTGAGCCTGGGAGGCGGGGGTTGCAGTGAGCCGAGACCATGCCACTGCACTCCAGCCTTGCGACAGAGTAAGACTCTGTTCCCCTAAAAAACAAAACAAAACAAGGAAACTTATTCTGTCATTACTTGTAGAATTTCTGTGTAAGAAGTATTAGTATAAAAGATGAAGACAAAAGTCTGTTCTCTGAGAAGATATTATTTATGTCATCTTTTTTTTTTTTTTTTTTTTTTTTTGAGACGGAGTCTCGCTGTGTCACCCAGGCTGGAGTGCAGTGGCGCGATCTCGGCTCACTGCAAGCTCCGCCTCCCGGGTTTATGCCATTCTCCTGCCTCAGCCTCCGAGTAGCTGGGACTACAGGCGCCCGCCACCACACCCGGCTAGTTTTTTGTATTTTTAGTAGAGACGGGGTTTCACCATGTTAGCCAGGATGGTCTCGATCTCCTGACTTCGTGATCCACCCGCCTCGGCCTCCCAAAGTACTGGGATTACAGGCTTGAGCCACCGCGCCCGGCCTATTTATGTCATCTTTACTCTAAATCAGCATTTAAAGAAAACATTTCCTTTAAGTGTAATAATTTGTCACAGGTAGCAAGAACCCAAAGGTTACTCAAGGAGGGACAGCATTTTCTGTTCAAGAATCTAAATAAGGCCGGGCGCGGTGGCTCACGCCTGTAATCCCAGCACTTTGGGAGGCCGAGGCGGGCGGATCACAAGGTGAGGAGATCGAGACCACGGTGAAACCCCGTCTCTACTAAAAATACAAAAAATTAGCTGGGCGCGGTTGTGGGCGCCTGTAGTCCCAGCTACTCGGGAGGCTGAGGCAGGAGAATGGCGTGAACCCGGGAGGCGGAGCTTGCAGTGAGCCGAGATCGCGCCACTGCACTCCAGCCTGGGCGACAGAGTGAGACTCCGTCTCAAAAAAAAAAAAAAAAATAAGAAAAGGCTCAAGAAGAAAGGCAACCAATGAATCTACCACAGCTATTTGATGGAGATTAAAAGAATTTTAAAAATGAGGAGAATTAGAAAAATTTGAATAAGGTGCATATACTATATGTAGTATTGTATAAATGTTAATTTGTGTTTTTTATAATTGTTCTGTACTAAAGTAAGAGAATATCCTTTTTAGGAAATGCACACTGGGGTATTCAGAGATAACAGGGCATTATATCTGCAATTTACTCTCCAACAACTTTTTTTTTGGTGGTGGTAGGGACGAAGTCTCACTCTGTCACCCAGGCTGGAGTGCAATGGCACAATCTCAGCTCAAGGCAACCTCTGCCTTGTGGGTTCAAGTGATCCTCCTGCCTCAGCCTCCCAAGTAGCTGGGATCACAGGCGTGCTCAATTTTTTTTTTTTTTTTGAGACGGAGTTTCGCTCTGTCTCCCAGGCTGGAGTGCAGTGGTGCGATCTCAGCTCACTGCAAGCTCCGCCTCCCGGGTTTACGTCATTCTCCTGCCTCAGCCTCCCGAGTAGCTGGGACTACAGGTGCCGCCACCACGCCCGGCTAATTTTTTGTATTTTTTTTTTTTGAGGCGGAGTCTCGCTCTGTCGCCCAGGCTGGAGTGCAGTGGCGCGATCTCGGCTCACTGCAAGCTCCGCCTCCCGGGTTCCCGCCATTCTCCTGCCTCAGCCTCCCGAGTAGCTGGGACTACAGGCGCCGCCACCACGCCCGGCTAATTTTTTTGTATTTTTAGTGGAGACGGGGTTTCATTGCGTTAGCCAGGATGGTCTCGATCTCCTGACCTCGTGATCCGCCCGCCTTGGCCTCCCAAAGTGCTGGGATTACAGGCTTGAGCCACCACGCCCGGCCATTTTTTGTATTTTTAGTAGAGATGGGGTTTCACCATGTTAGCCAGGATGGTCTCGATCTCCTGACCTCGTGATCCGCCCGTCTCGGCCTCCCAAAGTGCTGGGATTACAGGCCTGAGCCACTGCGCCCGGCCTTTTTTTTTTTTTTGTATTTTTAGTAGAGCTGGGGTTTCACCACGTTGGCCAGGCTGGTTTCGAACTCCTGACCTCAAGTGATCCACCCACCTCAGCCTCCCAAAATGCTGGGATTACAGGCGTGAGCCACCGCGCCCTTCCTTGTCAACAATTTAATGAAGCAAAGGGAGAACACTAACCTGGGGAACCTGTATTTATAATTTTTTTTTCTTTTTTTTTTTTGAGACCGGTCTCACTCTCACCCAGGCTAGAGTGCAGTGGCACTATCTCGGCTCACTGTAACCTCCCCCTCCCAGGTTCAAGCGATTCTCCTGCCTAAGCCTCCCAAGTAGCTGTGATTACAGGCACACACCACCATGTCCAACTAATTTTTGTTTTTGTTTTTGAGACAAAGTTTCACACTGTTGCCCAGGCTGGTGTGCAGTGGGGCGATCTCAGCTTGCTGCAGCCTCTGCCTCCCAGGTTCACACGATTCTCCTGCCTCAGCTTCCTGAGTAGCTGGGACTACAGGCGTGCGCCACCATGCCCAGCTAATTTTTGTATTTTTAGTAGAGACAGGGTTTCACTATGTTGGCCAGGCTGGTCTTGAACTCCTGACCTCGTGATCCACCCACGTCGGCCTCCCAAAGTGCTGGGATTACAGGCATGAGCCACTGTGTCTGGGCAATTTTTGTATTTTTTTTTTTAGTAGAGATGGACTTTCACCACATTGGCCAGGCTGGTCTCGAACTCCAGACCTCAAGTGATCCACCTGCCTCAGCCTCTCAAAGAGCTGGGATTACAGGCATGAGTCACTGCACCAGGCCTGTGATACATTTTTTGTACTATTTGTTTAACTTTTCTGTAACTCTGAAATTACTTCGAGATAAAAAAATTATTTTTGTTTCCTTTTTATTATCTAGCTCCAAAAACCATTTTATTTTTAAATTAATGGAAGATATCAGGTGAAGCAATATCTTATTGATGTTAAACTCTTAATGAGAGTGCTTCTTTCAGGACTAAGGGGATCAGGATACCTACCTCACTGCCACCAGCCAAAGAGGATACTAAGCTCAAGAGGTTAGGACACAGTAAGGTGAGCAGGCCAAGCCCAAATATTTCATTTTTTCCTAATACTTACATCTGAGCCAGAGGGGTTAAGGTCAGGGCAGCATATTAATGAGTAAAATCAGGCTCGAATATGAAGATTCAAACAACTATAGCACCATGGCTAATTCTTCAGGGAATCAATTCACTTGACACTGGCAAATAACATGTTTATAAAGCACACCCTGCACTCTTTAACTAACTGTAAAGAAGACTTTCTTTTTTCTTTTTTTTTTTTGAGACGGAGTCTTGCTCTGTTGCCCAGCTGGAGTGCAGTGGTGGGGTCTCAACTCACTGCAACAACCTTCGCCTCCTGGGTTCAAGCGATTCTCCAGCCTCAGCCTCCCAAGCAGCTGGGATTACAGGCATGCACCGCCACATCCGGCTAATTTTTGTATTTTTAGTAGATACGGGGTTTCACCATATTGGCCAGGCTGGTCTCGAACCCCTCACCTCAAGTAATCCACTGGCCTTGGCCTCCCAAAGTACTGGGATTACAGGCGTGAGCCACCGCACCTGGCCTAAAGGAGACTTTCCACTCTAGATGATTGCTCTTCAAATATGAGTTGTGCTGAGGACTCAGGACAGCACTGGTAGAGAGGGACAAGCTGTGGACTCTCACAAGGCTTTGGGAAGCTTTTTCACTTGGCCCTAAGCCTCTCGGGGCTGAATACAGAATAGGATAAAGCATCTGCACTGATTCATGAATCCGATTAAGTGTGGCCACACAATTCCAAAACTCCATCTCCTACCGTTCTATGACATAAAAGTTGTCTCCATCATCTCCTTGGTCAATGACATGCTCATCAGCTTTGACTATCCTTTCAAACATGGCATCAAGAACTTGAGAAAGTTGTTCCTGCAGGGTATGCACAAGAAGGAAAAATAGCCTTACATATGCTGCAAAAAAGCAGTGACCATAATTATCTCAATTTGTGACTATATAACAGAAGTCCCCACATTCAAACAGAAACCTAAAGGTTGTCTGAAACAAATGCTTTCCTGGGACCATTCAGCTTTGCACCTCCATGTACCTCAGCAGACAGCAAATTGGCAAGTCTTCTGAGGCAGTATTGTTTTGAAAAAGCTTCCCACAATTTACGCAAAAATATTGACTATCACCTGCCTGATGGTTCCACTATGTTACGCGTAAAGCCATATGCTGCCACCTTCCTACAGGTGTTGATCTTAACAGGATCATCAGATCTAAAGGACTGCTGTGGCTTAGAGGTTATCTTTTGGAATAGCACAACTGCTTTTGACTAGCAAAACAGGTCACTTAACCTCGCTGAGCTTCAGTATCTTTTTTTTTCTTTTTTTCTAGAGACAGAGTCTCACTCTGTCGCCCAGGCTGGAGTTCAGTGGTGTGATCTCAGCTCACCGCAACCTCTACCTCCTGAGTTCAAGCAATTCTCCTGCCTCAGCTGCCTGAGTAGCTGGGACTACAGGCCTGCACCATCACGCCTGGCTAATGTTTATATTTTTAGTAGAGATGGGGTTCTGCCATGTTGGCCAGGCAGGTCTCAAACTCCTGACCTCATGTGATCCGCCCACCTTGGCTTCCCAAAGTGCTAGAATTACAGGCGTGAGCCACCACGCCCAGTGAACTTCAGTTTCAAAAAGGGTATAACAAAGATTCCAGGTCATCAATTTTTATGACCAAAGGAGAAAAACCTAGGAAGTATTTACGAAACAACAGATACTCAATAAATGAGATCTATTATAAGACAGCTAATACTGCTTCATTTGCATACAGCACATACAATTACTTACTACTATTGCCTGCCATAACCAGACATCAACTATGTCAATAAGTATAATGAAAAGAAAATAATACTATTAAATTCTATGAAACAATGGTCTCAGTCTAGGGCCAGCATCCCTGTCAGACAGGGAGATCAGTGATTATTAGGGAGTCACTAAAGAATACCAGGTTCAATTAAAAAAAGAGACTTTCTCTTTGGAGGAATGTAGACTGAAGACCTGGAAAAAGAATAATTTTATGACTGCATAATTCCAGGTGAGTTTATGTTCTATCAGAGTGACTGTACTACTACGATAATTGAGTATCACCAAAAAGTATATTTAGTTCCATGTGAGTTGAATACTGTATAAGCTGACAAATACTAAAAAGGATGGCTTGCAATTGACGTGTTACCCACATTCACTGGAATGTGAGCCCAGCGTTGCCAGAAATCTCCTATTTAAATGCTGGCAATAAATTTAAATTTTCATGTACAATACAGAACAAACACAGACATCTGTACCTAGCCTGTGGATTGCCTGCTGGAAGCCTCTTGTTCTATGTCACTTTTCTTCTTCTAGTCTGTACTCTTCAAACACATGTGTCATGAGATATAGAATAAAAGGGGTGGAAGGGGAGCATTTCTAGGTTAGAGGAGACTAAAATAACAACATGACAACCAAACAAAACACAGTAAGTCCTCACTTAAAGTGGTTGATAGGTTCTTGAAAACTGTGACTATAAGCAAAACAATGTATAGAAGGTCCTCAAATAACACAGTTATAACACTGATGAGGGAAAAAAAAAGGTTCCATTATAGGTTGTTTTGCTTAAAGTTACAGTTTCCAAGACTACCAACAATGTTGAAGTACTTACTGCATGTGATTCAGAGATGGTCATCTATGAACCAGGAAGTGGGTTCCTGGTCAGACACCAAATCTGCTGGCACCTTGAGCTTGGATTTCCCAGACTCCAGAACTGTGAGAAATTTCCACTGTTTATAAACTACCCAGGTTATGATATTTTGTTATAGCAGCCCAAATGTACTAGGACACCCATCAGGAGATAGCCCTTGTTCTTTATTTCTACCACCAAGAGAGGGAGGACAGGCCCAGGTCACGGATCCTATGCTAGGCCCTGCAGAAACACACCATTCTCAAGAAGCACTTACCACATACTGTGGTAAGCCAGTGGGTTAACTATTATCAATGAAGGGAACTACATACCAGCATCTTCAGAAAAATCAATCTCTTTGTAGGATAAATTCAGACCTCCAAACTAAACCAGGGTCATGCAAATCTGAGCATTTCCTTGCAACATGACAAAATTGCATGCTCTTCAAATTATCAGTTTTGTCTTGGAGAAAGTGCCAAAGCAGCTCAGAAAAATACAGCAGTCCTCCTCTTATCCATGGGGAATATGTTCCAAGGGGATATGTGGATGTCTGAAACCACAGATAGTGTTGAACCCCATTGCTGTCAATTGGAAAACATTTCTGTTCGTATCTTCCACCCACAAATGTAATGCCTTTTCCATCTTAACCAAATACTTAACACGCACTGTGGCTGTAAATTGGGCAGTTTGAGGTACGACAGCAAAACTAGCAGAAATTTCTTTTTCCTTCTTCACAGTTTTACAGATAGAAGATTCATTCTTATATACATATATATTTTTTTTGATTTTGAGATGGAGTCTTGCTCTGTCACCCAGAATGGAGTGCAATGGTGTGATCTCAGCTCACTGCAACCTCCGCCTCCTGGATTCAAGCAGTTCTCCTGCCTCAGCCTCCTGAGTAGCTGGGATTACAGGTGCACACTACCACACCTGGCTAATTTTTGTATTTTTAGTAGAGACGGAATTTCACTATGTTGGCCAGGCTGGTCTTGAACTCCACCCACCTCAGCCTCCCAGAGTGCTAGGATTACAGGCATGAGCCACCGCACTCAGCCAGAAGATTCATTCTTACCATAGATCTCTGCAACCTCGGTATACAATTTCTTTCTCCCACCCTCCCTCTCTCCCTTCCTTTCTTCCTTCCTTCCTTTTCTTTCTTTCTCTCTTCCCTTCTCTCTCTCCCTCTTTCTATCTCACCCTTTCTTTTCTTTCTTTTCTCTCTCTCTCTTTCTTCCTTTCTTTCCTTAAATTTCTCTCATCTTTTCACTTAAAGGAAGCATTTTATGGCTTCTTTTTGGCATATCTGAATTGCCAGCATTGCTTCTCTTGTGCTTTGGGGCCATTATTAAGTAAAATAAGGGTTACGTGAATATGAGTACTGCTAGATGGTGACTAAGTGACTAATGGGCAGGTGGCATATATGGCATGAATACACTGGGATAAAGTGATGATTTGTGTTCTAGGTGGTAGCAGAGCAGGACAGCATGAGATTCATCACACTACTCGGAACGGCATGCCTTTTAAAACTTAGGAATTATTTCTGGAATTCTCCATTTAGTATTTTTGGGCTGTTGTTGACTATGGGTAACTGAAACCCTGGAAAGCAAAAACCAAGGATAAGGGGGACTACTGCACTAAAAGGCATCTAAAAGATCATGTCTGGGTTAAAGTGGTCAATACAATGAAACATTTGTATGTAAGATGAATCTAAGGTTTAGGCTATGGTTAGGATGCTAAAAATTAAAGTTTAAGTGACAAATAGGAGCAAAGCTAAAAGATCATTATAATAAAAATACTTTAGAAATCAATGTTACCTGATCGAGATTTTTGAAAAGGAGAATATCTTTGCAAGCTTCCTGAAGTCTGCATCTCTGTTCATCAGTTTTAGGATGAATCACCTGCCAATCCAAATAAAACCATGGAAATTGTTTTATTCCATTTTAACATAACCACTTAAAGACTGGTATATTTCTTTCTCCAAAAAGTGGGAAAAATAAAGAGCATGGTTTCTGTAATTTTAATTTTACATAAATATCAAGCTGCATGCTGAAGGTGGAGGGGCAATGTAATATAGAGGTGAAAAGCACCAGCCCTGAAGCCACCTGCTGACTACGTGGCTGGCAGCAAGTGAGCTGTCCCCTGGGAGCCTCAGGATCTTCATCCATAAAGCAGAGGCTTATAAATTTGTTCATTAAACAAATATTGAGCATCTACTCAAAAAACAAAAAAAAAAAAGTACATCATTTAATCTGACCAGAAATAATAGATGTTAAAAGTGTTGGCCAGGCGAGGTGGCTCATGCCTGTAATCCCAACACTTTGGGAGGCCGAGGCAGGCGGATCACAATGTCAGGAGATCGAGACCATCCTGGCCAACACAGTGAAACTCCGTCTCTACTAAAAATAGAAAAATTAGCTGGGCATGGTGGCGCATGCCTGTAATGCCAGCTACTCGGGAGGCTGAGGTGGGAGAATCGCTTGAACCGGGGAATCAGAGGAGGCTGCAGTGAGCCAAGACCGCACCACTGCACTCTAGCCTGGTGACAGAGCAAGATTCCATCTCAAAAAAAAAAAAAAAAAAAAGGCTGGGCACGGTGGCTCGCTCCTATAATCCCAGGTAATCCCAGCACTTTGGGAGGCCGAGGTGGGCAGATCACGAGGTCAGGAGTTCGAAACCAGCCTGACCAACATGGAGAAACCCATCTCTACTAAAAATACAAAATTAGCCAGGCGTGGTGGCGCATGCCTGTAATTCCAGCTACCTGGGAGGCTAAGGCAGGAGAATTGCTTGAACCCAGGAGGCGGAGGTTGCAGTGAGCCAAGATCACACCATTGTACTCCAGCCTGGGCAACAAGAGCGAAACTCTGTCTCAAAAAAAAAAAAAAAAAAAAAAAAAAAAAGGCCGGGCGCGGTGGCTCAAGCTTGTAATCCCAGCACTTTGGGAGGCCGAGACGGGCGGATCACGAGGTCAGGAGATTGAGACCATCCTGGCTAACACAGTGAAACCCCGCCTCTAATAAAAAAAATACAAAAAACTAGCCGGGCGAGGTGGCGGGCGCCTGTAGTCCCAGCTACTTGGGAGGCTGAGGCAGGAGAATGGCGTAAACCCAGGAGGCGGAGCTTGCAGTGAACTGAGATCCGGCCACTGCACTCCAGCCCGGGACTGGCGCGAGACTCCGTCTCAACAACAACAACAAAAAAAAGTGTTAAGTATTTTAAATTTGTGATATTAAATTAGAAAAAACTGTTTTAGTCATCAATAATTTTACAATAGCTAGAACAAAAAATTTAATCTACAGGATTTTTACATTCACAAAAATGGTAGCATTTATTAGAATATTTCAGATATTTTTCATAAGTTACTCATTTTAAGGGTAACTCGATTTAAGGGTAACATAATAGATCACTAAAGCTTTTTTTTTTTTTTTTTGAGACAGAGTCTCACTCTGTCGCCCAGGTTGTAGTGCAGTGGTGTGATTTTGGGTCACTACAACCTCCGCCTCCCAGGTTCAAGTGATTCTCCTGCCTCAGCCTCCTGAGTAGCTGGGATTACAGGTGGGCGCCACCACACCTGGCTAATTTTTGTATTTTCAGTAGAGATGGGGTTTCACCATATTGGTCAGGCTGGTCTCAAACTCCTGACCTTGTGATCCACCTGCCTCAGCCTCCCAAAGTGCTGGGATTACAGGTATGAGCCACCGTGCCTGGCCCACTAAAGGTTTTTATAACAGCAATCTTTTTTTTTTTTTTTGAGATGGAATCTCACTCTGTCACCCAGGCTGGAGTACAGTGGTGTGATCTGATCACCACAACCTTGGCCTCCCGGGTTCAAGCAATTCTCCTGCCTCAGCCTCCTGAGTAGCTGGGATTATAGGCGCCCACCACCACACCCAACTAATTTTTGTATTTTAGTAGAGATGAGGTTTCACCAGGTTGGCCAGGATGATCTCGAACTCCTGACAGGTGATCCACCCACCTTGGCCTCCCAAAGTGCTGGGATTACAGGCCTGAGTTACCACACCCAGTCTATAATATCAATCTTTTAAAAATTATAGTTCATACATGCTCTCATAAAAGTAATTTATGTCAGGAGACTGAGGCAGGAGAATCACTTGAACCCAGGAGGTGGAAGTTGCAATGAGCCGAATTCGCGTCACTGCACTCCAGCCTAGGTGACAGTGCGAGAGTCCGTCTCAAAAAAACAAAAACAAAAAACAAAAACAAACAAAAAATAATTTACCTCAATTGTACAGAAGTTTAAAAAACTATTTTTTTTTTAAAAGCACCCAAAAATCAAACATGGTTTTGCCACAACCACTATTAACATCTGGGGTATATCCTTCCAGATAGAATTTTCTATACATACATATATACAAATAAATATATATATTTCAAATTTTTTAATTTACAAAATCTCTATATATATATTTCAAATTTTTAAATTTACAAAATGCTCTATAAAATGCACCTCACACAAACATACATCCCATGCCATTACATACAGTCCTGTACCATCACTTTCAATGGCTACAGATTCTCTCCATTTGAATGTACTATAATTTAGCCCCTGGTAATCCCATATTTTGGGTCGTTTAGGTTGTTTCCACTTTTCATTGTTATAACACTACGATAAACTCCATTTGTACATCCTCAGGAAGGATCCAACTTTCATTAGGGATGAATTCTCCTTTAGGTAAATGCTAAATCAATTGGCCTGGCTCTAAGTATTTAAGGCTTGTTGTTAATTTTTTTTTTTTTTTAATGAGATGAGGTCTAACTACATTGCCCAGGCTAGTCTCAAACTCCTGGGATTCAAGTGATCTTCCCACCTCAACCTCCCAAAGCACTGGGATTACAGGTGTGAGCCACATGCCCAGCAGTTGTTTTTTTTTTTTATTTTCAGCCTCGACCTCCTAGACTCAAGCAGCAATCCTCCTGCCTCAGGCTCCTAAGTAGCTATGAATACAGGCACATGCCACCAAACCAGCTAATTTTTTTTTTTCCCCCCAGAGATGGGGTCTTGCTATATTGTGCAGGCTGGTCTTGAACTCCTGGCCTCAAGCAATCCTCCTGCCTCAGCCTCTTAAAGTGTTTGCATTATAGGTGTGAGCCACCACGCACAGCCTGTTTAAGGCTTCTGACAGCAACAGCTAGGCACTTCTCACCATACCCTCAACCAATGCAGCTTTCAATTTGTTAGATTGAAAATGTCACTTCATTGATATTTTAATTTGTATTTAATGATTAGTATGATGAGTTTTTGGTATGTAGAGAAGGGGAGTTAATGAGAAATACAATTCTACCTAACATCTTTGCTTGGGTCTTACCCTTGGATCTGTATCTTCCTCTTCCTCATCAGGGTTATAGGTCTCAGCACAGACTAAAATTGGAGAGAAAAAAACAAAGAATGAATTTAACAGACGTGTGGCTTTAGGAAAAATAGGAAGTAAACTCAATTATCTTTTATTCACTGTTTTCTTTCTTTTTTTTAGAGACAGAGTTTTGCTCTTGTTGCCCAGGCTAGAATACAGTGGCACAATCTCGGCTCTCTGCAACCTCCATCTCCCAGGTTCAAGCGATTCTCTTGCCTCAGCTTCCCAGGTAGCTGGGATTACAGGCGCTGTACCACCATGCCTAGTTAATTTTGTATTTTCAGTAGGGATGGAGTTTCACCATGTTGGTCAGGCTGCTCTCGAGCTCCTGACATCAGGTGATCCACCTGATGTATAACATAAATGCTCACGCTTGTAATCTCAGCATTACAAGGCGTGGAGGCTGTAATGCTGGGAGGCTGAGGCGGACGGATCACGAGGTCAAGAGATCGAGACCATCCTAGCCAACATGGTGAAACCCCACCTCTACTAAAAATAAAAAAATTAGCTGGGCATGGTGGCGTGTGCCTGTAGTCCCAGCTACTCAGGAGGCTGAGACAGGAGAAGCACTTGAACTTGGGAGACAGAGGTTGCAGTGAGCCGAGATCATGCCACTGCACTCCAGCCTGGTTGACAGAATGAGACTCCGTCTCAAAAAAAATAGAGAGTAAGTTGTGTGAGACATAAAGGGAAAAAAGGCAAGGTGAAGAAGAGTATATATGGCATGCTATCTCTTGCAGAAGAAAGGACTTCCATGAGAAAGGAGAGCTAAGAATGGAGGGAAAGTAAATATACTTTTACCAGTTAATTTTTCCAAAATGAAACAATTTGGGAAGAATAAACCGGAAAGTAATGAAATTACTGTCCTAGTGTATAGATAGAAACAGGAAAGAAGGGATAGGGAAAGGAATGAAACTTCTCAGAGGAAACTTTGGTTTGTTTTTGAGACGGAGTCTTGCTCTGTCACCTAGGCTGGAGTACAGTGATGTGATCTCCGCCCACTGCAAGCTCTGCCTCCCGGGTTCACGCCATTCTCCTGCCTCAGCCTCCCAAGTAGCTGGGACTACAGGTGCCTGCCACCACACCCAGCTAATTTTTTGTATTTTTAGTAGAGAAGGGGTTTCACCGTGTTAGCCTGGATGATCTGGATCTCCTAACCTCAACTGCCCGCCTCGGCCTCCCAAAGTGCTGGGATTACAGGCGTGAGGCACCGTGACTGGCCTGAGGAAACATTTGTATACAAAAAGTTTTGATATTTAAGCCATGTTAATTTTTCACATATTTTAAAAATTAAATAGATAACAAGGACCCTAAAACTAAGTACAAAGAAAAAAAAACCTACCCATGTATCGGGGTGATAACACAATTAGAGAAGGAAAGAATCAGATTCTAAGTAGCTTCTGAACATAGTATTCTGACCATCCACCCTCAGTGGGATATACTGCATTCCAACAAAAAACAATTGATGTTGGTGATGGTATAGCAATTCCAAAACTCTTCTTCAGAGAGTCTTGCTCTTTCACCCAGGTTGGAGTACAGTGGCGCAATCTTGGCCCACTGCAATCTCCACCTCCCTGTTTCGAGTGATTCTCCTGCCTTAGCCTCCTTAGTAGCTAGGTCTAGAGGCACGTGCCACCACACCCAGCTAATTTTTGTAGTTTTAGTAGAGATGGGGTTTCACCATGTTGGCCAGGATGATCTCAATCTCTTGACTTTGTGATCTGCCTGCCTTGGCCTCCCAAAGTGCTGGGATTACAGGTGTGAGCCACCGCGCCCAGCCTTTAATTCCAAAACTCTTCTATGTGTATTACTGTAGTGAGTAAATAAACAAACACACAGATATTTCTTACTGGTGAGAAGGGGGATACAAATATGGACTGGAGGAAGAATTAGAAATGGAGATATCAATACAAAGCATTTTAAAATCTCACCCCTATGTGTTATTTGCAAAGAGACAATAAATTATCTACTGAATAGAGTTTTGTACTTACTAACAAAACTGTTGTTACCAAGAATGAACTAGTTGTGATTACTGATGTTTCTCAGAATAGAGCAAACCTACTCCCTCTTCACAATACAGGCCATTACAGCTGGGAAAAGTTTTATTCTAATAAATCATCAACGATCTGTAACAGCTGTGTGACTAGAGGTAATTTATTGCCTATCTCCACCCTTCCTCTGCATAATGGCACAAACAGCAGTGACTTCTCTCTAAAGACTGTCATAAGGATTCAAGTAGACAGGTGTCAGGCACGGTAAGGAGGCAACTTGAACTATTACCATTACTATCTTGGTTCCATTTGTTCTGGGTTTCTGGAGAATTATTGTTATGTTGGTTCTGTTCTCTATTTCAGCTCCTTTAACAACTGTCCTTTCTTCCAGGCTAACCTCCATCACATATTTCTTTCTACCCTTACAACTTTGCTCTTTTTGCTTTCTCTATGGTTTCCCCCCGACCCCTCCTAAGACAGAGCTTTATACTGTCATCCAGGCTGTAGCACAGTGGTGTGATCTTGGCTCACTGCAACCTCCACCTCCCAGGTTCAAGCGATTCTCCTGCTTCAGCCTCCCAGGTAGCTGGGATTACAAGTGCTAATTTTTGTATTTTTAGTAGAGACCTTTTTTTTTTTTTTTGCCATGTTGGCCAGGCTGGTCTCGAACTCGTGACCTCAAGTGATCTACCCATCTCGGCCTCCCAAAGTGTTGAGATTACAGGTATGAGCCACCGCGCCAGGCCAACTCTTTTTATGTATTTAATTCTTGCTCATTGTTTTTAGTTTCCTTATAATCTTATCACACCCATTTTCTGTTTCATCTCAGCCAATTTTATCTTTGGCTTTTTGCTCAGAATTCGTAAGTGCAATGATTTCTTGTACTTTACTGAGCATTTTGTAGTGGACCTTTCTAGTCTTCACTCCTCTTATATCCTTAACCAGCTGAGTTTACTCATAGGCCCTGTATTGTTTATTAGGATTTATTTATCATCTGTTTAACAGGCAACAAACAGTTCTTGACCCTACTCTCAATCTGTGTGACGGCTAAAAGACTCCATGTATCTACAACTATGGGACAGGCCGATACATACCACTCCCAATTATTTATTTTTATTTATTATTATTATTATTACTGAGACAGAGTCTCCCTGTCTTGCCTAGGCTGTAGCGCAGTTGACATGATCTCAGCTCACTGCAAACTCTGCCTCTCAGGTTCAAGTGATTCTTCTGCCTCAGCCTCCCGAGTAACTGGGGCTACAGGTGCACGCCACCACACCCAGCTAATTTTTATATTTTTCGTGGAGATGGGGTTTCACCATGTTGGCCAGGCTGGTCTTGAACTCCTAACCTCAAGTGATCCACCGCGCCCAGCCCCACTCCCAGTTATTTCCCAATTTCTTAGAGACACTTACTCACTGCAGTCCTGGTCTAGCTACACCCCAACTTCCTTTTCCTCACTGATTCTCTAAACCAATAAAAGATCTGAGAAATGATGGTTTCCATTGTGTCCTATACCCAGGACTCTCCCATCCCTGTCTTAGCAGATAATACTCGACTTGTGTGGCCCATGCCACTCGTGCAGTAATGCCATCAATACCAAGTGCCCAACAGGGACCTTGTATCCTAAAACAGATAAGAGAAAAATTAGGGCGGATAGAGTAAGAAAAGATACACCACTCTAGTCCCCGAAATAGCATTAAGCGATGCTCTGCAGAGGGCTGCCCAGTTTCTGGCTAGTGTGGGCCTTGGTTTACTGAGCCAGGAAAGTAACAGTGGGATATAGGTAATGACTCACTACCTTTCTCCAAGCATTTTTGTTTCCAGATGAGGCCAGGGTGCATTATCTCAGTTCTTCCCTAAGGATTAAGACAGACACCTATCTTAGTTCCTAGACGTTTCTTTTTTTTCTTTCTTTCTTTTTTTTTTTTTTGAGACACAGTTTTGCTCTTATTGCCCAGTCTGGAGTGCAACGGCATGATCTCGGCTCACTGCAACCTCCTCCTCCCAGGTTCAAGCAGTTCTCCTGCCTCAGCCTCCTGAGTAGCTGGGATTACAGGCACTGGCCACCGTGCCCAGCTAATTTTTGTATTTTTAGTAGAGATGGAGTTTCACCATATTGGCCAGGCTGGTCTCGAACTCCTGACTTCAGGTGATCCACCGGCCTCAGTCTCCCAAAGTGCTGGGATTACAGGTGTGAGCCACCATGCCCAGCCTCCTAGATATTTCTGTTGTTACTTTTTGCATCATCATAAGTATTCTGGTAGGAAACTGGGGAAACTGCATCAAGGGCATCTAACCAGACACTTTGTCAAACTTCAAGTTTCTTGGTTCTCTGTGCTCTTGATTAATGCCATTACAGACTAGTTTTCTAAACTAGAAATTTGGAATTCATCAGACTTTCTTCTCTCACCTCTTATCCAATGAATACATCAAATTCTGCTTCAGAAATATTCTCGTATTTGGCCTTATTTAATTCAGTGTATTCCAATTGCTACTCCTTGGTCTAAGAGTTCAAAACAACTACTTAGAATAATACATAAAAAAAAAAAAACTTCATTTCAGGAAATAAATGGGTACATGGGTATTATACTAACTTTCTCTACTTTTGTGCATGACATCTTCCTTTTATAAATTAATTAATTTTTTTTTTTGAGACAGAGTCTCACACTCTGTTACCTATGGTGGTGTGCAGTGGCACAATCTTGGCTCACTGTAACCTCAGTCTCCTGGATTCAGGTGATTCTTGTGCCTCAGCCTCCTGAGTAGCTGGAATTACAGGCGCACACCACCACGCCCAGCTAATTTTTGCATATTTAGTAGAGATGGGGTTTCATTATGTTGGCCAGGCTGGTCTCAAACTCCTGGCCTCAAGTGATCCGCCCACCTCGGCCTCCCAAAGTGCTGGAATTACAGGCCTGAGCCACTGCACCCAGCCCTTTTGTGTATGAAATCTTTCATACACATATTTCATTGAAAAGTTGAAAAAAATAAGCTTTCAGTGATGAGACTGATAG